TCCAAAAGTTCAAGGAATGAGATGAACAGGGGATGTTAGGTAGCGTAATTAGTTTTGTAGATTTAGCTAGTATATTACCTTTAAGCTGATCAATATTTTTTCTCTGTTTCAGCATTCAGATATGTCATCTTTTCCTGTGTATGATGAATATGAAGTCACTCCAGGGGATGGATCCAAAATCAAATCATAATCATTGAAGAGATTAGGCTTGCTTTACTATTACTAACATATATATTTCAAATAAAGGTATTAGTACATTAGATAAACAATTATGTTGATGCTGTACTTTATGTATATACTTCAAATATAGATTTTAATAAGTACATTAACAGAATTATCATTTCTAACCAGTTGAGTCTACATAGAATTGGTGGTTTGTGAATCATAAAAATATACCAGTTCATGTAGACTTGCTTTATATTTCTTTTTATATACATTCCTGGCTAATGTATGTTACCGCACACATTGGACAAGTTGTAACCACTTCACTGTTTCTTATATAGTTCGTAATTACTTAGTTAATTATTATGGAGCAGTTACTTTTTTACTTCATAGTACTTTGGTCACATCAGTCTGATATCTTCTCACTTGTATATTCTTTATACTAAGCTCTCTTTCAAGAAAGTATCAAATGCATCTAGAATTAATACATATGGTGGAATGGGTGACAAAACACACTTATATTCCACCACTTTGATATGATAACGTTATAGTTCACTGTTTACACTGACACAGATCCTTGAGGTTATTACTAGTGAGCGAGGGCGGCCAGCTTCTTGCTCTTATACATGAGTTCCCCCCAGTCCCTTTCCCATCTTTCCCAACCCTTCCCCTCTCCATTTCCTAAGATGTGAGAGCCGTGTAGATAGGATAAAAGGCTGACTTTGTGCCAATCATGAACAGCCTCGGGGAGCCATGGGCACGGTATTCCCTTGGTTAATTGTTTAGCCCTTACCCCTCAAGGTCCACTCCTCAGGGGTGGATCTTTTATCTTCCCAAAATATTTCAGGCTTCCCATAGCCAGTAATGAAGATTTTATACCATTATTAGGGGCACTGAGGCTTGCCCCTACATCAAGTACCCAGCTTCTCTGAATCTAACTCCTCTGGTTTACCAACCCTTGACTCTCCTTTGACCACGGCTCCAACTACTGCTACTACATCCCCCTCCTCATGATCTGTCAACTTACTTAACCCATCCTGAATTATCTACTGTGGTTATAATTCAACCTTCAAAAGACACCCCTTCTCACTCGCAATATTCAACCCACCTCATGCACAATCAACATTTTCTACCTCCTCCGCCCTTATTACAACTCTTCACCCTTTTTGCAATCACCCCCACACTACTATCTCACTCTACACCACTCCCTCCTCACATCCTTGCCCCTCTACAATTCCCACTTTTACAAATCTTTTGAGTGCTCTGTTTAGCCCAGCTAAGTAGGACCGATTTTTTGTGATTCCCCAACAGCCCCTTATTCTGATAATAGCCTCTTCTTTCAACAATGTTTCCAAAGACAAGTAAACAAAGTTTCCTTCCACAGTCGCCCCTGTCGCTAACGTCTTGTCACAGATACATCTGAGTTTCAAGCCCATGCACTATCTACCCAGGTAGATAGTGCTCACTGGCAAACCTATTCTACCCAAACCCACTCCTTATTACATGTACTGATTGCTCAGTATATGACAGAGATTGGGCCAACTTGCTTACTATGCTGCAGTATCAGTACAGTGCTATACTATTCCCCCAGAGGCCTCTGTAAGTCCCACCTCAATATTGTGCAAGATTTTTAGCACCTCTTGTTCCAGGGTGATCCTGAGTTACTCCTGATTTAGGTGTATCTTGGTGGTGGTGGTGGGGGGGGGGGGTAGTTTAGCCAGGATGCCACTGATGTGATTATGATTATATACACTGATATCATTTATGCGTGTGTACACCTAGTGCAGACATAGTTGTTCATCCACAAATGCCCTAAGTACTCTGCATATGTTCATTTTTGTGCACATACACATGCAAGTATACACCTTTACATCTCCTTATTAATATGATATGCCTTATACACTACTACACATATGCACATGCATACACATATATAGCCTTATGCACAAATCATATATGTATACATATGTGTATATGCACCCACATATATGCAAACACAAACATGCATATATATCTTGTACACATACTTATAAGTATACATACACACATATATAGCCATACATATGCTTACGCACACGTTTATGAGTACACATTAGTGTTCATATATATATGTATACATCTGTACATGCACATACATTCATATATACACATATACATATGCATATGCATATACATATACATATACATACACAGAGCATGTGTATTGCTTCTCTTGCACACATACACCTGTGCACTTCCGTGCATACGCGCTCATACTCGTGCACAAATGTTTGAACAGTGTCTGCCTGAGCACACATACGCACTCCATTATAATGAGCCCATGCATTTGAATGTGCAT